TACCATAGTATCCAGAAAAATTCTGTACATTTCTTTCATTTTTTTCTTAAAGATTTATTTATTTATGCACACAAGAATTGGGGTACAGGCCAGTGGTCTGGAGGGTGAGAGGATTCACCAGAGATAGAATGGGAAGCAGAACAGGCAGATGCACTGAAATAAACTGCAGAAGGAAGCAGCGGGTAAGACAGGAGAGGTGTGCTGTGCCATGTGGGTAGCTCCCTGACTGGGGATCAAACCTATGCTGCAGTGGCTGCAGATAGGTTCACAAGTGGTATGTTTTAACCCCTTGTGCCACCAGGGAGGTCCACTGTACCCCCATTTCTTGTATGCATAAATAAATAAATCTTAAAGAAAAAAAAAAGGAGCCCAAGCACTCAATAAGAGGAAAGGAAAAGAGTTATGTGGTATATATATAATGGAATACCATTCAGATATAAAAAAGATGAAACCTTGCTGGGAATGGATAGAAGGTGCTTACTGGTTGACAGTGGATGGTAAATGTACATTTGGTGGTGGTGGGCATGGTAAGAAAATGTAATCTTGGAACCCATACAGCACTGTAAGCTAATGTCAACCTTAGTAAAAAAAAAAAACCTTTTAGATTACTTAATTTTGAAAGAAATGAACATTTAATCAATATAAAGAATACAAAATAAACTTACTTGATCTATCTGATCTTGTTGGCCTCTGTATACAGTTTCAGGATCTGAAGGTGGCCGAAGATGAAATTCTGAGTCACAGAAATTTCCATCTCCATCAACATTGTGGAGGCTTTCCCAAACAACTTTTTCTTCAGTAAGAAACCCCTGGTCTGTTACTAACAAGTACAATAGACCCTTAAGAAGAAACAAAAGAAAAAGGGCTATTAAATTGATACAAACTAGTTACTCTTTAAGAGAACTTTTATTATTAAAAATTTAAAAAAATATATTCATTATATCATCCTTCATTTTTGTACAATGTATGGTTTCCCCATCAAATTTCTACCACCAATTCACCCATGCACCATCATGGTAGTCCCTTGTGTTCTTCTCAACCCCTCCTCTACAGAATGTCTCTGATCTATAGTTGCCTCATGATTTTGATTTTTACTTTATTATAGTTACTTTTTTTCCCTGATTTCTTTTTTGTTTTCTCTACATTCCTCCTATAAGTGAGACCATTCACTATTTTTCTTTTTCTTTCTGGCTTATTTTGCTGAACATAATCCCTTTCAGCTCCACCCACATTGCTCGAAGAGCACGTGTTTATTCTTTTGATTGTTAAGTAATATTCCATTGTGTAAGCATACATCTTCTTGATCCATTAAGAGAATTTTTATAACCTATATATTTAAAACATATTCTCTCCACTAGTTAAGTTTGCCCAAAAAATAGTGGGCCAAGTAGACACCTTATTTGCTCACTGAATTAAATCTACCTAGCTTTAATAGTTTTTAATTGTTACACTATAACATAATAGTATGGGTATACCCAATTAATATGTGACTTATAAATAGCCTTTGGTGCTAGGTATTTAGATATGTGACAAGACATACAATGAAACATAAGGTTATGGAATATGGGTGATTCTTTCAATTTTTCTCAGTTTGCAATTTTTCATAATAAAATGTTAAAATGACTTTTGGTGGTTTATATATCATTACACAATAGGAAAATAGTATGCATGTCCTTATAAAATGTAGCATGTATCAACTAAGGTAGTCACAGTAAATGATATCACAATATCTGTTTTTTTTTAATTAAACCTATATAATCCAATAAATAGCAGTTTTCACTATCTCTGTACTATGAGTTGCTCTTTCTTTATAATCAACATATGTATCAATGTTACTTTGTTCCTGTTTCTGTTGTGGTACTGAATCACACTTAACCATGATTATGTTTTCCTGGCTCATTCCTCAGACTATATATTTAAATTTTTGTATTTCTAGACCTGGTGTAGAATACATCACAAAGTTTAGGTTTAATATTTATAGACTCAATCAATGAACTCATGTTTATAGTTATCACTACAGATTTTAGCAATGTCCTCTAATATTTCATATGAACTAGTTCTAACTCCCAATTACATGCAAAGCATACCTAATCTACTATATATGCTTTGAAAGCCAGTTCTTCTTTGGGTTTATTTAGGAGAAGACTTTCATTTACTTCCTCAGAGTTCTTACTGGTTAAATATAATATTTTCTATTGCATAAGAACCATGCTTTTTCATGATCTCTCTTGTCATTCACAATCTTGAGAATTAGGAATATGAGCTTCCTATAAAGAGTTTGGTGGTAGAGGTGGTAGAGAAATGATTGAATAAATCATGAAGATTTAAGTACAAAGTTATTATTATTATTATTGAACATTTACTATGTGATCAATACTGTGGAATACAACTCTCCTGAAATATAGTTTTTTCTTTTATACCAGTTACTTTCAAGAATAGCTGATTCATTTATATATTCACTGAAGTTGCTATAGTAACCTGTAAATCATTTGAGAGGAAAAACATTTTGGTATAGAGCTTAAAGACATGGTTTTAAATTAAAGCTCAGTATGGACTCACACTTAAAAAACAGTCAGGTATATTCCAATTCATTCAATATTAAATTATCTACCATATGATCACCTTTCCTAAGTGCTCTAGTATTCATGTCACAGAAAATAATGATTCCACGTTACTCTGGTATTGGGTGTACCTTTAGCATGATTCCATAGAAACCTGCATTTACATTATCAAAGCACTTTGCAATTAGTTGTCTGTTTACCTATCTTTTCTAATATGTTTCAGTGTCCTTTATGAGAATCATGTCTTATTTACTCATACATCCTCATTACCTAGCATACTTTTATTTGTTTATTATTATTATTTTAAAGATTTATTTATTTACTCATACAGAACTGGGGTACAAGCCAGATATGCGGTGGGTGAGAGGATTCACCAAAGACAGAGTGGGGAGCAGAACAGGCAGATCGATGAAGTACACTGCTGAGGGGAGCAGTGGGTGGGTCAGGAGAGGTCTGCCGCGCCATGTGGATTTCTTCCGGGGCAGGCGGGGATCGAACTCATGCAGAAATGGCTTAAGCTTTTTAGTGCAGTGTTTTAACCCGCTGTGCCACCAGGGAGGGCCTGTTTATTATTTTAAATTTAATTTTGCACAGAAGAACTGGAATGTAGGCCAGAAGTATGGGGGTGAGAGGACTTGCCAGAAACAAAATGGGAGCACAACAAGCAGATTTACTGAAATACACTTCTGAGGGTAGCAGTGGGCTAGACAGGAGAGGCTTGCTGTGCTATGTGGGTCCACTTCCTGGCTGGGGAAAGAATTTTGCTGCAATGACTACGGATAGCTTCATAGTGCTGAGAGACTTACCCCTTGTGCCAGCAGGAAGGCCCCTTAACATACGTTTAATACCTACTTATGATCTACCTTGTCCAAGAATAATTTAAAGGAAAAACTGAAAGTTCTTTCTAGTCAATTTTCCAGTAAGTAAATCTGATCCTCCTGTTTATTACAATTAAATTTCAACACACAATTATATATTATCTAAGCTCTATGTTTTATAACTTATTTGATGTAGATGATTTATTATAATGACTGCTTGCAATGGGAGTAATCATAATCTTATCCAACAATTGTTTTCCAAATGACACTGTAGGATGGGTAACTTTGGAAAGGTTTCTAACTGAATACTAGTATTACCCATAGCATATACATATTTGTGAGTTTTAACTAAAATGGTGTCCCTTTCTTGGTATCGCTGACCTGTTTTCTAATGAACTACCAGTCTCAATTTCTTTTTCTCTTTGATCTTGACATTTATCAAAAATATATGTTACTGTTCCACTGTCAACAAGGCTGGTTATTAGTCAACAGTTTCTTTAAAACTGGCAATATAGAATGGCAATGTATGTATTGATGCAGAATGGAAAAGATTAGGCAGAATGGAAAAGTTTGTTCCTGAGAGTCAATAGTTAAATTACCATTAAGACTATTTCTTGCTTTTATACTCCTACACTTACGCTACATTATCTAGTTAGAGCTTTCTTTTCTTAGCTTTGAACCTTTCTTCTAACCCTAATTTCAGCCTTTAAAATCTTAATTAAAAAAAAAGACTGATAAAGAATGGGTATATATGGGTATATTAATGTCTTAAGTTACTATGTATAAATGTATGTTACTATGTAAAAATGTTAAAGAAATAAAGTTATATAATTTTTATGATAGTTTTAAAAATTAGGCAATTGGCATACAAAAGACTAAATAAAAATCTATTCTACCAAAAATATCCCAATAAATTAACTCTACATAGAATGAGTTACTTACATTTATAAAATGTGACAATATCACACATCTGATAAAACTGAAGAAACTGATAAACTGATATTGACATAACTGAAGAAAACTTATTAAATGTACTAAAATAATTAACATTAGCCTTTAAATTACAGAAGAGGAAAGTACTACTTGAATATTTTAGATTAAATGGCTTAGATACCAATATTTAATATCTTTGGATGACCTTAGTTTCCTTTCCTTATAAATGACATGGAGGTAGTTAGAACAGAGAATTTCTGATATTTTACAGATTGGAAGATGAACTTTACTTCTACTTAATGAAACAAAGAACAAAGAGCTTTCTTCTTCATCTAGTGAGGCAGAGTTGAAAGTGTAAACTTGAAAGTCAGACTGAAGCTATTCACAAGCTGTGAGGTCTTAGGAACTTACTGAGGGCCCCTTAAGCCTGTTCTCTCAGCTGTTAAGTGGGAGTAATGAAATTCACACTTCATAGAAAAGTTGTGAAATTAGATAATGAATAACAAGTAGCAGGCACAGGGTAAGTGCTTAATGATATAAGATATTACATTCAGGATATCACCGAAATCTGTCTCAGTTTGTGTTGGGTCTCCCCAGGCCTCCTATATAAGAGAAAATAGGCTCTGCCTCTGCCATGGAACCTATCATTTTTCTTTCTGTTCCACATTTTCCTTTTCTCTCCTTTAAAACTTTTAAGTGACAAATTTTAATGCATCAACTCTCATTTAAAAATAATTATAAACCATGCCCATTATAGGGGCCTCCTTTATGGCACAAAGTATTAAAGTGCAGCACTATGAAGTTATCCATAACCACTACAGTATGAGTTCCAATCCAGCCAGGGAGGTGACCCACATGGCTTAGCATACCTTCCCTGTCTTGCCTGCTACTCCCCGCATCATTGTATTTCAGTTCATCTTGCCTGTCTTGCCTGTTCTGCTCCCTACTTTATCTCTGGTGAATTCTCTCACATCCTGCACCTCTGGCCTATACCCTAGTTATTGTATGCATAAATAAATAAATATATTTTTTTAAATTCCAACTATAGTTTTAGTCAAAGAGGAAAGAGTGAACAAATTTATTTTGTTAATAAGTGACTTTACTATTTATCCAGAACTGTATTTCCTTTTACTTTATTTTTCACTTCTAATACCTAACTGTAAACTTAAAAAGCAAAAGAATAAAAACCTGGTTTTTGAATGTACTGCAAAGAGATGTCAGTAATTTAATACCAAGAGATAGAGGAAACAGTTATGACATGAATATAAAAGTTGATAATGAAAAGAGATGATCAAGAGGCAATCTTAATAGCGACTTTTGCAGGTATTATTACATAAACCAAAGATCTAGAAACTAAGTGGTCTAGACAGGGAATCAGCAATTTATCTAACTCAAGAATAAACAGAAAGTACTGAAGAAGTAAAGAAAGACTATAAAAATAAAGTTGAATAACTAGATCTTGGATACAAAATCCCCGATCTGTGACTTATGATTGTGAAACTAACAGTCATAATGATATGGATAACATTAGAAACAAAACAGACTAAGGCATACTTAGTTCAGAACAGACAAATGGCAGTAAGTACTCCAGGAGAGACACTCCTTCCTGTATCACATAGATGGTTGGCAATATTTGGCTATTTAATAAAGAACTTCCTGGTCAGGAATATTGCCATGATGGAAAGGAAGCACCTAGACCTCAGTTTTATGGATTAAAAACCTTATTTTTCCAATGAACTATATCATTCCACTGAAAAAAGAAAGAAAAAATGGAACAAAAAGAACAAATATGGCATTAGAAGACCAAGTCTGTTTCTTTTCTTAACTCAAGACTCTATACGATCTAGTACCTACCTCTCTCTTCAGATTTATTTATTTTCTAGGTATTAGCATCACAAATCTTTCAATTCCTTGAGAAGTTATTTCCTTTCTCAGTGCCTGTGCACACATGTTTCATCTGCTTAGATAACCCCATTTTTTTGTTAACAGATTAAACTCCTAGAAGATTAATTTTTTAGGTCTCAGTTTAAATGTTACCATCTCAAGGAAGTTTTTTTCCTGACATTCCCAAGTAGGATATGTCTTAATAAAAGTACTCATAGTGCTTATATATATCCATTACAAAGTGCACTGCAACAGAAATAACAATTGCAATTATTTAATATCTATTTGTGAAGCTATCAGTCCTTAAATGGAAGGAACCATAACTGCCCTGCTCAAGCAATAATTATAGTTCTTACCTGCACACCCAAGCATAATCATGCTCAGTAGATATTTGTTGTATAAATTAAAGTGTGGACTTGAGGAGATCAAGTAAAACAAGAGGACATGGCAAAAGTTACTGTACAGCAGTAATTCTGACTGAGGTTCTTTGCCTTAGAGTACAGAAGATCTGCACTCTTAAATAGCATATATCAATTCAAATGTGGGAGCAATACAAATGAACCCTTATTAACAAGTATGGGAATAGGAGAGCCAGGGTTACAGAATATTCAAGCAATTAACAAAAACCAAATCATTGTTTTATCCTAATTTGGGCAATTCATTGATTCAAGTGTTGAAGATCTAATCCCTTGGATAAACTTTCTTTCATTTAGAAAATACAACACACTTACATGGAAAGAAAACTACTAACTAGGTATTCTCTAATGGACAGAGTAAGAATAATGGCTCATTACACATAAAGGAGGATGGAGGAGTGGTCCTTAGCCTTAGCTGAACATAAAAATAATCTGAGCAACATTAAAAACATACTGATATTCAAGTCTCACCTCCAGAGATTATGATTTAATTGACTTTGTGGTGGAATTTGACCATTGGCACTTAGAGAACCAAAAACCAAAACTTCCCGATACTTAGCATGCAATCTGGGTTGAGAAATGCTGATTTAAGAAACAAAATATTTCTTAAAGAACAGATGTTCATTTCACCTGTTTCCTAAAGAACAGGTGAAATATGGGTAGCCAAAACCAAAGGAGATATTTTCAAATGTGGATTAAGGAGTAAGAAATGGCAGTAAGTGTATTGAAATGGGAAGACATAAATGAAAGATTATTAGTGAGTAGATAGATCACTGTGTCCAAAGCAAAGTGTTGGCAAAGGGAGAGAGAGTAGAAAATACTTTGCATTTTTACTCTCTAAGCTGCAGCTATTACTAAACATTTTTTACTATGATATGATAGAATCTATCAATTTCTGATATGACAGAACAACATTCTAGTACATAAGTCTAGGTATAAGATGATCAACTTCCCTGAGGGTTTTATATGTGGCAACTGCAAACATGGAAAAGACAACAAAGGGAATGAATTAGTAAGATTTTTTGGCAGAGTCATAAATGGCATAATAATTTAAATTCACATTATTAAATTTAAGCAGTATCATAAAGACAAATCTTGGTTCTTCTAAATTCCTTTGACCTTCAAAATAATTACCCATAGTTAGTGTTCATTCTATCTGAAAGGTTATCATTTTATTTTCTTAAGAAGAAAATAATAAATACTTAGTGTAATAATCTGTGGAAAGGGAGTTGAGGTTTAAAACCAAAAAAACTTGATTTGAGGTAACATTTAAATTACTAAAGATAAGTAATAATTAACTTCATAATTTGATGGCTAAGGTATATTATGGTAAATTTAAAAACCTTTGAAGCAGATTGTAAGACATCTCTAAACCAACACCCATTAATTTTGAATAACAATCAAATAGCTTTATCTATATCATACCTTGTACTTGGTCATGGTGCTAAAATGATTATTCCGAAAGAACACACAAAGTTCTCCTTCCTGAACCGTTGAAGTTAGTTCACATAATCCATGGTATGTCAGTTGAGTGGCTGTGTTATTTAAAAACTGCTCAGCTACAAACCCTATGGAACCAATGTATAATATTAGATGGAAGAATAATTTCAAAATTAAAAATATTTCTATTATCAAAAAACCGTGGAGGGAGGGGAATGCATTGCACTATGGTGATGGCACATGAGTGATTTGGTAATGGGAAGCCCACGGGGATTACAACTGAGATGGAAAAAGGCACAAAATGATATAAAAATAAACTATTATGTTATTTAAAAAAAATTTTCCATTGTGTTCCAAATATGAAGAATGGCCAATCAAAAGAAGAATTTCCCTACTATATAATATGATGGCCCCAAATTGGAGAGTCTTCTAAGTTTGCTATGTAAGATGAATATGTAGGCATTACCATCTTAAACAGTTATGTGAAATTCTTTTTATCAATTAATATATTAACTTATATTTCAACTACCTCCAAAATTTTTTTAGGCAGCTTGCAATAAAAGACAGACACAGTAAAGCCAAAATCAATTTAAAAACACAAGAATGCAAGAGTTAGCAATTTTAAAAGTAGATAGGAGCAAAAGATGTATGTCAATAGTTAGTTGACATACTAACTATTAGCCAATAGGTAGTTGTTTAGAAATTAAGATGGCTTTAACAAATTGTGTTGCTTGAGATTTTAAGAGTCCTGATAATTTTTAATTCAAAATGGCTCAATTTTTGCCTTAAACAAAAAGGCATAAGACTGAACAGAAAAGAGTAGGATAACCAGTGACATTCTAGCAGAATCTCTCCTAACATGGCACTCATTATGCGATATATCAAGTTTAGAAATAGGAATAACCTCTTCTGAAGCATGATGAAATATAAAGGAGTTTTCTGAGGTTTAACTTAAAAGACCTATGTATAGCTGATCCTCTTTATTTGTATAGGTTCATATTTGCAAATTCACCTAGAAGCTAAAATTGAAAATCCCAAAATCAGTACTCATTGTTCCTATACATATGGATAGCAGTAAAAATCATTTTCCAATGAGGTAAAACAAGGCAATTCTCTGCCTTCTTGCGTCAGCTCTTGTACTGTAAACAAGCATTTTTTATGGTCTATTTAACATCGCATTTCCACATTTTTGTGCTTTTTGGGGCAACTTTATACTGTCTAAAATGGGTCCCCTCCACCCCAAATACAATGGTAAAGTACTGACTAGTGTCCCTAAGCACACAAAGGGTTGTGATGTGTCTTGTAGAGAAAACACATCTTTTGTAACTTTATATGTGAGTTATAGTACTATTGGCATGAGTTTTGTGTAATGAATCAACAACATTAAGTAAGGTGTTTCTAAACAGAAATACACAAAATAAGGTTATGATTTGATCAGTTGATGAAAATCTTGTCACCAAACGTTCACAGAAATCTTGACTATTAGTACTCATTAATTCAATGTTCATATCAACTTTATGAAACATAACTACAAAAAATGGGAGTTAATTGTACATTTTTAAAGCCTGTATTTCTTGTCTTTCTTTCTTTCTCTTCCTCCTTTTGCTCCCTTCCTATAAAAAGGAAGAAATATCTCAGAAACAATAGGTAGAAAGAGAACGCCATAAAAGTTTTATATCTGAGTGGTGTGGATATAAAGAGTAAGATGGACTCGAGTTAATAGATTTTTCTTTTTCTTTTTAAAAAGATTTTATGTATGCATACAGAAATGGGGTACAGGCCAGAGGTGCAGGGGTAGTGAGAGGATTCACCAGAGACAGAGTGGGGAGCAGAATAGGCAAATTGGCAAGGTACACTGATGAGGGAAACAGTAGGTGAGAGAAGGGAGGTCTGCTGTGTCATGTGGGTCACCTCTGGGTCAGGGGTCAAACTCACACTGAAGCAGCCACGGCTTGGCATAGCTTAGCAGAACAGCTCCAATCTACTGTGTGTGCCACCAAGGAGGGCCAGGTTAAGACATTTTTCTTTGGACCTATGGGTGGGCAGGTCTTAGAAGAAGGGGCTCTGGAACTCCAGCATGATGTGGTAGAGGGCATGAAGGCCCAAAACAAAACCCTTACTTTAGATGTGATATCTAGGCTTTCACTCAAGTTTTTGTTTTTTTCTTATTGAGATGACAATCTTTCAAATTCTTGCATTGTAGTAAGAAAGATACCTTTTTATAATTGTTAGCAGTTTATTGACTTAATTTGTATAAATGGTCTTTTGGGGCAGGTAAAGTGATATAATACAGTGTTTGAAATGAGATCTTTTTCCTTTATGTTTTTAGGCTGTACAATGTCCCTCAAATGAAGGCAAGTGTACTTAATGCCACTTAATTTCCAAGTGTACCAACTTATGTTTACTGGGCTTTAAATAAACAGAAAAAATAATTATATTAAAAAAAATTCTCATGGGAATGCAAACTAGTAAAACCACTAATGGAAAGCTGTTTGGAGATTTCTCAAACTGCTAAAAATGGAGCTTCCATATGACCCAGCAATCCCACTCCTAGGTATCTACACAAAGGACCCAAAAACATTGACTCACAAGGACACCTGCACTGCCCCCAATTGCTACTCTATTTACAATAGGGAAGATATGGAATCACCCAAGAGCCCAAAAGTAGATGACTGTATTAAAAAGATGTGGTACATATACACAATGGAATGTTACTCAGCAATCAAAAAATAAATAAATAAATAAACTCATGCCTTTTGCAGCAACCTGGATGGAATAAGCCAGAAAGAAAAAGAAAAATACCAGATGGTTTCATTCATAGCAGGAGCATAAAGGGACAGGGTATGTGTGTGGGGGGGGTGGGGAATAACAAACAACTATATACCAGAGATATTTTACTGGGGTGGAGTGGGGAATAGGATTAAAAATGGGGTGGGAAAGGTGCACAGAATTATGGTGATGGCACATGGGTGAATTGGTGGTGGGAAGTCCACAGGGATTACAACCGAGATGGAAAGGAGGCACAAAATTGAAGAATGATTATAAAAATAAATTAATTAAAAAAATATCAACAAGATGGAAAAATGCACAACATGATGTAAAAATAAACCATTATATTATAAAAAAAATTCTCAATAAGAAATTGAAAATAAATTTGATAGGACCAGATATATTTGGAGATTGTAGCTTATTCTACATCTTCTTCATCCCTCATCTTTAGTGTTTTGTCATAGCACTTCAATATGCAAAAACTTTGTAAAAGTAACAATATGCCATGCAATTCCAAGGAACCAGTTAAGTTAGGGGGGAAAGTAAAGAAAGTTATATAGAAGGTCACATAAGAAATTTATCGCACATCTGTGATTTCTTTTTTCCAACCCTCCTTGACTATCATACTTACTTTACTAAAAAGTACCTGTCTATAACATTTCCTTAAGACAGATATTCCCAAATGCCCTTTCCACAAATCACTCACATATCACCTTTTCTTTTCTTTCCTTTTCTCTTCTTTTCTTAAAAAGATTTTTTCATACAGAACTGGGGTACAGGCCAGAGATGTGGAAGGTGAGAGGATTCACCAGAGACAGAGTGGGGAGCAGAACAGGCAGATGGAGGAAGTACACTGCTGAGGAGAGCCCACACATCATCTTTTCTACAAATTCTTTCAAAAAGACAAAAATCCTATGATGATACACATAACATTACTTTCATGTGTATGAGTTAAAAAACTAACACTGAGGCCCTCCCTGGTGGCGCAGCGGGTTAAAGCACAGCACTGAGAATCTAAGGCCGCTTCCACTTAAGTTCGATCCCCGCCTGCCCCGGAGGTGACCCACATGGCGTGGCAGACCTCTCCTGACCTGCCCGCTGCTCCCCTCAGCAGTGTACTTCATCGATCTGCCTGTTCTGCTCCCCGCTCTGTCTCTGGTGAAGCCTCTCACTGCCCCTGAGCCTCTGGCCTGTACCCCAGTTCTGTATGCACAAATAAATAAATCTTAAAAAAAAAAAAATTAAACACTGAAAATGGCATTCTCAGTCATTTCTTCCTATAGAACAGATCATATGCTCAAAGAGAATAAATGACCTCCTGAAGAACATAAAACTACTCTGGCAAAATAAAGACTAAAAGCTAAGAGAAGTATTGAGATTAATAAAAAAAACTTAGTGAAGTTTATTATAAACACCAAGTTATTTAACTGAGTTAAAGCATAATCTATTTTAGAATTATAAGGAACAAAGTTACTCATTCTCCTTCTATCTTTAAATAGTGACATCCCTGTGAATTTGGTGGGCTATTCAAAAGTCCATTTTCATAACTATTTAAGCAAATTTTGGGAAAAAATTATAAATGTTACTTATCTGTAATGCTTCAAATATACAGTTTATTTATAACATTTAGTTTACATTTCAACTTTATTATTATATATACACTTAGTAATTATATTAGTATAAAGTTAATATAATGGTAATTCTAAAATATTGCTGAAAATAAGTTAAAATTAAAAAGTATTTTCCTGACAACATTAGTGTGCTTGAAAATATTTTTTGCTTCTGAAATTCAATATCAAAATAGTTTATCAAATTATTTTCCTTCTACTGGAGTGTTATTAGAGAAACCAAAAATACTACTCAATGCTTTAAAGGAGCTGAAGTTAGATGGAGGGACACTGAAAGTAGGGAAAGAGGAAATCAGTGAGAAAGAAACTTGGTTTATTTTTAAGTGTTGGGTAGATGTGGGCCAGTCTGAGATTTGTGTTCAAATTTAAGCTCAATTAGAAGTTAACTTTGTCACTGTGATAGTTTTAAACAGATGATCTGATTTTCTTTTTAAATTAAATCTACTGCAAGTTTTAAAAATAAAATACATTCTTTTCCTCAAGAGGATGGGGTAAAACAACCTTATTTTAAGAAGACCAATATTCACACTTCCTTTGAAATTGAAAACATGGGGGCTATATGATTTGATTCCAGGCATGCAGCAAGGAACCCAAAAAATCAAACTGTGTTAAAGTTAAAAAAAAGAGTTCAAGAAATGATGAGGACATGTCAAAAGAACATGGGATCGAGCTTGAGAGCATTCCACTGCCCAGATTTGGGACAATTTAAGTTTCAGAAAGAATAGTGTAGTAATAGTGGATTATAATACACTGAATAAAAAATAATCCATGAATCTACTATGATAAAAAAAATTTAATGCAATTGGGAGAGAAGAAAAAAATACTTTTCCCAGATATATGTCAATTAATAAATGCAGAAGGAATAATACAAACATCACAACCACTGCAGTAGCAGTTCATTCAGGTAAGAATCGATAGATGCTAACTCTATTAGGTGGAAGACATTAGTGAGCAGGTTGTTTATACAGTTTCAAAGTATTGGAGATTACTTATTACAAAGAAAAAATGGCATCTTTATAATGAAAATTTGACAGATATCACCTTAATCATATTTGAACATCATCAATAATGGGATAATCAAACATCACATGCTGCCTACCCCTTTTGATGTCAAGGGAAAAATACAGTATCACTTACGTAAGCAATACCACCAAAAATATATAACCTGCGTCTACTCATGTGGGAACACCCGGATGAATCCACACTGAGCACTATTCTACAAAACTGGCTTAGATTATTGAAGCAAGTCAACACCACAAAAGACTAGAAGGAAGAAAAGAAGGAAAAAGGTTAGGAACCTGCTCTAGATTTCAGGAGATTAGTTATGATAATTAAATGATCCTTGACTGAAGTCTACATTGAAAAAACTTTAAAAAATTATATGGGGGCATTATTGGGACAAATGGGGATTATGAACAACATTATATCAATGCTAATTTTTCCAAATAATATTATTGTCATATAGAATTTATATAGAAGTATTCTCAATTTTAGGACACATATGTTGATACATTAATGGGCATAGTGCTATGACATCTGCTACTAATTCTCATATGTTGGGGGAAAAGTGTTAGTTTGTGTGAATATAGAAACACAAAAAGTCAATATGTTAATACTTGCTGAATTAAGGTGAAGTGTATACATATGTCCCTTGTGCTATGACAAGTTTTTAAGGGCTTGACCACTTTCAAATCAATTTTTTTTTTTATAGGAAAGTGAATTCAAGCTATGATATTCAGTGTTCACAGCAAATTAGGACTTAAATAAACCAATATTGTGGAATTATTTTTACAAGCATATTTTTGACCTAAAAACAGGTGTTAAAAAAGAAATTTTTCAAGGGAAACATCTGGAATTAAATAACCTGTTCTGGTATGATTTGGAAGCTGATACTATACTATTATTTTCCATATTGATTTTTGCTACCATGCCACAATTCATCACTATAACTTGATTCAAAAAAGGTAGCAAAATAGTAGCAAAAAGGTACCCAAAACAGATAGCAAAAAATATGGTCTCTATATACACATAAAACTGCACTCTTAGGCCCTCCCTGGTGGCGCAGTAGGTTAAAGCACAGCACTAAGAAGCTAAAGCCACTTCAGCATGAGTTTGAACCCCGCCCCAGAGATGATACACATGGTGCAGCAAACCTCTCCAGACCCACCCGCTGCTCCCTTCAACAGTGTATTTCGTCATTCAGCCTGTTCTGCTCCCCACTCTGTCTCTGGTGAACCCTTTCACTACCCCTGCTCCTCCGGCCTGTACCCCAGTTCTGTATGCATAAATAAATCTTAAAACAAACAAACAAACAAAAAACCCACACTCTTACTTACAAGATATTGCTGTCAAAAGAAAATAAACCTTACCTGAAAGAATAAAAAATAAAAAATCTAGTTTTTTGACTAGTAGCCAAATAAGATTTATCATCATCCAAAAAAAAAAAGAGTGATAGTGAATGTGTTGCTTATACTCTGTAGCTCATGGAGATGAAATATTTGGATAAAAATAAATAGTTATCATCTAGGATCAAAGCTTAATTAATTTTTTAAATAGAGGATAGAAATAAACCAACTTTGTTGATTTTAATGATTCAGAAAGAAATTTATAGCTGCAAATAAATAGAAAAAGAAAAGCAAACTACTCCATTTGAACATGAAATCTAAGAAAATATAATGAAGAAAAGCTAATTGCTACATCATAAGTACAAATGTCCATTTCAGCCTTTTCTTTCTATAGGATTTCTTAGTGTCTTATACAAGTAACTACTAAGGTTAAATAATTATTTCAAACAAATTATGTATTTGTGGTCTCTTATAAACAAAAAACTAGTTGATATTTTTATTTATACTTAATTCTATATAAATATTCACTGACATGGAAATCCAATTTGCAAAATTTACCTTTTAGAAATTTATATATAATGGAATTTAATCAATTCTGGTATATATTACCTGAAAATACTATACCACTAAAGAGGGTGAGTCCTTCCTTGTTTCTATAAAGACATTTGTTCCAGTTATCAATACTATTTAAACTAGTTATAGTTTTTCATCATCTTAGGGAATCTACAGATAAAAGTAGTAACAGATGTAACATCAGTTTGAGGAAAGAGAAGTGAAAGGACTGTGTTTTAGTTGTTGCTGACTCTACAAGTAGGGGACTAAGTCCTAGTTATATTGTGGCCTGACTTGGAAGAGATGCTATAACAGCATTTCTTATAGTTTCTTACCTACATTTCTATAGTTTCTACTAAGCCAAACTTCAGTCCTTGTCTATCATCCTGTTAATACTTTCTGTCTGAATTCTACTGTTCCCTCAATTACTACTGAACAGGATATTGAAAGTTGTAGAGAAAGTAGGATTCTACTTCTTTAGTCTGCTTTCTAGGAATGTATTTATAATAATGAAAGTTTGGACAAGGAACAGAAAGCTCTAGTGTGTGTGTAATTTTACTACTTGAAATAAAGAAGTAAAGAAAAACTAACAGTTTTTGTTACTCCTCTCCTTAAAATTTAAATTTTGCTGCCTTAGGTTGTAGTGAAAGACTTTTCATACAGTTCAATGATCAATATCTCTATATATTATGTGTTCATTGCAAGTTTTAGACTAGGATAAACCTCAACTAAAATATTGTGTATTTTCTTGCTCTTGCCTCTTATATAAACATGTTAAACTTCTGGATAAATTAACAAATATAATTTGTTGGGTTCTAATTAATCAGTAGACCATATACATCTCCTTTAATATGTTCATCACTATAACTTATTTAAAAATGTGATTGCAACCAACTTTTAATATATCTAATATAAGAAATACATTTCTCAGAATGACAAAATTAATCCTATGCTTTTCATGACTTCTCTCTCATTATTTTTTTGATAAACAGCAGCCTCTATATCTGTGAATATTTATGTGAAAGTGGGTGGTGGGAAAGGATATCTAAATGCTATGATTCCTGATAGTATTCTGGTTTTACCTTTTTTTTCCCTGTCATTGATGGGAGCACAGATGAAAAAAATATGAAATTGATTCTAAGATGATGAATTTAGCAATTTCAATGAGCTATGGATTTGGAAAACTGGTGGTCAGAATTAAAAAAATAATTCAGAATGATGTTAGATTACATCCTTTTGTACTGAAACATGAGGCACAATGCTACTAAAAAAACAACTGAGTGCATAATATTCATGTCAATTAACTAAACTATTCAGGATGAATTAAAAAGTTTAATTAGTACTCTCAAACAAAAATCACTTTTTAAAAGAGTAAACATCAGTAACTCTTAGTAAATTGAACATATCCATGCTAGCAAGTGATTCATTCCAAAGACTTTTACTAGAATCAGGCCTGATTTTACAAGTCAAATGATAAGGATTCTAAGAAAAATCTTTCATTGGTACCTTTATGAATAATTATTATACTTAATTTAGTTCTTATATATCACATCATTTGTATTTTTAGAAGTCTTATTTAAGAGATACTAAATTATAAGATTAAGTATTTTTGCCAAGAGTAAGAGTCAGGTAATAGCACTCACCCACCTTCGCTAACCAGCTCACTGTTGTCTGACTGCTTACAAGAGATGATCTTCTCCACTAGTTGGTTGTAGCTGCAGTTACCAACAGCTTTTACAATGTCATCAATCTAGAAAACAAAGCACTGTGTTACTAATCATGTTAAGATTAAAAGCAAAGATACCCATATCATTCTTTAAGCTTTCATTCTAATTCAATATTGTAAATATAAATATGACTTATGAAAAAGAAAATCAACACCCAACAGTTTCCAATTCTGTTTAGTTTATTACATTATGAAAAATATTGCTTAACTGTATTTCAGTTATGATAATTAAATGGGATTATTACAAGTAACTTTATTTCTAACAGTTATATATAGTTAAGCGATTTAAATTAAGAAGCTACTTAGGAGGACAGATAAAAAGAAATAAGTCTCTAAAAATACCGATGATATGCATTTAAAGCAAGGTAAACTTAAAGATGTTAACTGATGAAATTAACAAAAGTTTGGTAGAGTATGGTAGAGATATGATTGGACACAAATAATCTTTGATGCTCAGCTAAGGTCTTTCCTTTGAAAGCAGATCTTTTGTGGGGTAGGAGTCTATGTAAAGCACACAAAAGGAGATACAAGTATCACTTCTTTTTTTTATATAAAATGAAAGCATAGATCCTTAAAAAGCAATTTGAGGCACAATCCCTTAGAGTTTCGTTATTCTTCTCAATAACTTTTACTGTTTACACAATTTTCTTTAGTGACTCAACTTTATTAAATCTTTCCAAAGAATATGAATTTTCAATCCTAAGGAATCCATAAAAATACAGCCAGAATAAGACAAGATCAATATTTAAGAATAAGCTGGAATTCCATAGACTAGCAATGAACAATATAAAGACTTCAAGCTTTGATAGGCAGAATCTCTACATTAACAATGCATTCAATTCATTTGAACACCTTTAATGAACTAATATGTACTGGGTGCTGTTAGAAAAACTGTAATTCACCTCTCACCGCCCCTGTACCTCTGGCCTGTACCCCAGCTCTGTAAACATAAATAAATAAAATCTTTAAAAAAAAAAGAGAAAAACTGTAGATTCAGCAATGAATAAAAGCAATGAACAAAAGATCTATGATTTATGTCATGAAGCTTATATTCTAAAGACAAACAAGAAACCAAGTAAGTAAATATATAAAATGCTAGTTATATGTAGTGGTATATGGCTATTTTTAAATTTTCAATATATTATAGTATTCTATAACATGAATACATCATAACATTTATTACATTCAACATATTGAATATATTCGGAACATACTAACTTGTCTTTTTGTACGCTACTTAAATTGTTTCCATATTGGTAACATGATAAATAACACTATTAATAAACTTTTTAGTATAAGTTACCCTCTTCTACATAGCAAGAGTCTCTCCAGGGACCACATTGCCACAATAAAACTGCCAAGTCTTAGGGTATGCTTATTAATTTTAATAGTTAACTCCAAACTGTTTTCTATAGCAGATGGTTAACTTATATTCTCTTCATCAGGAAATTAAGAAATATCTTTATGGCACACCTTTTCCAACACTTAGTCCTCTCCGACTTTTATAAATGCCAATCATTGTGATGTGCATATACTGCTATTTTATTTTGGTGTAACTTGCATTTCCCCACTATCTAATTCACATATTTACAATATATATTTGGGCATATATTTTTGTGAATTACCTATTCAAGTAATTTGTTCCTCTTTTAAATTGGGTTGCCTATCTTCAAAAAATCATTTGTAGTTCTTTATAGCTTCTTGATATTAATCTTTATTCAGCAATAATTTGCAATAATCTGCTACTCGGTAGCTTCTTTCTACATTATTTTTGGAAATTCCTTTTTTTGGGATGTGTAATTTCTTTAGACAAACACAAGTTCTCAATTTCCATGTTGCCAAGTTTACCACTGTTCTCCATGTTTAAGGCATTTGTGTCTTGGTTTAGAAATCCTTTTCTGTTTTTAAGGTCAGAAATGCATTTGCAAACTTTTGTAGTTTTATCTTTTACAATTAAACATCAATGTACATGGAACAGAATTTTATGGTGTGAATCAGAGAAAACAATTGCTCTTATTTCTATTTTTTAAATTAGTACTCTAATTTGTTTTTCTAATTGTCTTAGAATACTCTTTAGTGAAAGGACTGCTTTTACTCCATTGCTCTAAAACCCAATTTCTAAAAATGAATGAAAAAACAGATAAAATGTCCAGTTTCTGTCTCTATATGCATGGACATTTTGATTTCTTTATTCTGTGAAAGCAGTCTAATGCTTAATTACATATTTAAAACAGTTCATATCTGGAAGAGCAAATCCTCTCAAACTGTTCTGCTTTAAGAATATGTTCATTTCAATTCCTGGCACTCTGCATCTTTTTATATGAATTGTTTTTGATCCCATTCCCCACTCCACCCCCATAAAATATCTCTGGTATACAACTGTTCATTATTATTATTATTTTCTTGCCTGGTCCGTTATCCTGCTATGAGTGAAACCATCCAGTATTTTTCCTTTTCTTTCTGGCTTATTTCACTAAGCATGATCTTTTCCAGTTCCATCCATGTTGCTGCAAAAGACATGTGTTTTTTTTTTTGTTTGTTTCTTTTTTTTTGGTTTCTGAATAATATTCCATTGTGTATATGTATCACATCTTTTGAGGTACATCTTTTAAAGGCGCACACAAAAGGGTCAAAATGGGTTTATTTACAAATGGGGAAAAGGAAAGAAAACAACAACTGGAATATCCTTGTGGATCGGCTGACTTGGAGCTCTGGTAACAAACTAACTGAAAGCCCCGGGTCACACAGTCCAGAGAGCCATTTCCTGAGCGAGAGAGACGAAATGACCCCAATTATTCTACCAAAGTCCCAGAATTCCTGCTTAGCTCCACCCATGGGTCCTTGCACTTCTCTCCCTGGTACTGTTGGGAGTTGTAGTTTTCAATCACTGGAGTAGTGGGTAGAGTCCAGAAAGCTGGAGTAGGGGGGTGGAGTCCACAAGACTCTGCAGAATTCCTTTGGGACATCCTTCCCCTTAAAATTGTACTAGTTTGCATTCCCACCAGCAGTGCAGGAGAGTTCCTTTTTCTACACATCCTCACCAACATTTGTTGTTGCTGGTTGTTTTAAGATGTGTCATTTTCACTGGGGTGAGTTGGTACCTCATTGTGGTTTTGATTTACATCTCCCTTATTACAAGTGATATTGAACATTTTTGCATATGCTTGTTGGCCATCTGCATTTCCTCTTTGAAGAAGTGTCTTTTTAGCTCTTCTGCCCATTTTTTGATGGGATTGTTTATTTTTGTTGGGTTTTATCAGTTCTTTGTATATGTTTGTGATCAATCCTTTATCGCTAGTTTTGTGTGAGAAAATTTTTTCCCACTCAGAGAGATGTCTATCTTTTGTAATGTCTCTTTTGCTGTACAGAAGCTCTTTAACTTGATGTAGTCCCATCTATTTATCCTTGCTTTCACTACCGTTGCATTGGGTGCTCTATCTTTAAAGATGCGGCTGAAGTGTATGTCGTGTAGTATTTGCCCATCTTTGCTTCCAGGTATTTTATGGTTTCTGTTCTTATGTCTGGATCTTTAATCCACTTCGAGTTGATTTTTGTGTATGGTGTGAGGTATTGCTCTAGTTTCATTTTTTTGCAAGTAGCTTCCAGTTTTCCCAGCACCATCTGCGGAACAAATTTTCTTTGTTCCATTGTATCTTCTTTGCTCCTTTGTCAAAGATTAGCTGTCCATAAACCTGTGGGCTTATATCTGGGTTTTCTATCCAAATCCAC